CTAATGAAGCTGTCATCATAGTCAGTGTTTGCTCTGTTAGAAGTCTTCCCTCTGCCTGCGTCTTCCTCCTCTCCTTTACAAAGTCTGATATAATGTGCATTTTCAGCCTGTTCAAAGTACTTTCTAATTTCCGTGTGTGTGTGTTTTCTCTAACCCATGGGTTATGTAGAAGTATACCATTTAATTTCTAAACATTCAGGAATTTTCCAGGATTTTTCTGTTACTCCTAATCTAATAGCATGTAGTCATAGGGTACATCTTGACTAATTTGAGTATTAAGTACATGTACAAAAATTATAAAATTGTTATGTACTCGGAATTAATTAATAATTATTATAAAATGACTTTTAAAAAATTCTCTCTGAGCATTTCTTTTGCTTGAATACTAGGCAGTAAACTGGGGCAATTGTAAGTCTACCATGATTCATTTCTTGTCTCAAAGATTATTGCCTTTTACTGTTTAGTCCTCAATTTTGTAGAAGTCTTTCTTTTTAACTTTTCTTTCTTTTTTTTGTTTGTTTGTTTCAGGCAGAAGTATAATCTGTTTCTCCATCTTGGCCAGAGCAAAAATCTAGACATAGTCTTACAATTATTTGCACTGACTGGTTCTTACGTTTTTCTTTTGGTTGATATCAACTACTCTTAGAAGAATTTCGTGAAAGATAGGGACTTAAGTACCCCAGCCCAGGGCCTACAAAGGTTTATACATACAAAGTTTTGGTTTGAATTTCAGGAGTCCTTGCTTTCTAACCATGTTCACATATTAGAATCAACTACTGAAAAAAAAAAAAAAAAAACAAAGAACTGCAAAGAACTGTGAAATCTGAATCTTTTGTGATAGAACTGTTTTTAAAACTTCCAGCCAAGATTAAAAACAACTAGTAAAGCTTTCTCTCAATTAATTTCTTTACCATTATGTGCTTGGGGGGCAGGGATTGAAAAATACAGGAAGCCAGTTGTTCTTTATACCCAGTGGCATGATTTACTTAAAGATAAAAAAGGCCAATTCTACCTTCAGATTTTGCCTTGGTAAATTGTTTTTTTGGTATTTAACAAGAGTATATTTTAAAAGAAGTTAAAATAAGAACTTTTTTCACTTGTGTTTCACAATTTTCATTAACTATAAAATGTTAGAATAGCCCTATTGTTACAAAAAAGCAGTTGTATCAATTCATACGAATCTCAGAGCCCAAGAGCCTGTTTATAAGAAATAGAGCTATATATAAATAGGAATTTAAGTTTTCTAAGGCACTGTTTCTTTTTGTGATGCTATGTTACAGGTTTTATACTATGCAAAATGTATATATGATTTCAGTTGTTGATAACTGATTGTAAATTTGTACCTGTTAATGACTTGAATGAGTCAATGTATTTAGCTGTATTTGAAAGTGCCAGAAGCAGTAAGCAAGAGAATAATAGCACAGGACACTTCATAAAAAGGTCTGGTACAGCACCGACTCTGTGACTCCAAGACTGATTGATTTCACATTGAGTTACTTTTTAGATGTATTCAGTTATGTAATGCATAGAGTAATCAGTTTGGAATTCCAACCACTTTTGTGCAAACTGATTCTTTTGCGTGATTTCCTTAATAAAGAACATTTATTTTTTTTTATCCATTTTACATATTAAACTTTTTAGTTTCTGAACCTTTTATTACTTTTTAAAGTAAGAGTGATTAAAGGATTTTATACAAATCTGGTGTCAAATACATTTTTCTTTACTTACTGCAACTAATCTTTCCTTATAGCTGTGAACTTTACAGAAGTTAATGAAGAAAACAAAAACGATCTATTCCGAGAAGTGTTTTCTTCCATTGAAACTTTGGCATTTACCTTTGGAAATATGTAAGTAGAGAACTGTCATTTAAAGTTACTGCACTTGAGTGTTTTAGTAGTATATATGTTAATGACTTGGGAAAAGATACATTCAGTATTGCTTTAATGCTGTATTTGGACATGTCTTTAGAGCTATTAGAAGCAGCTTCCACTGGCAAGTGACTGGTTTGTGTGAATAGATTCCTAGGTTGTTTCTTTGGGTTCCTACTTAAAACCGAATCTATTTTATTATAGATGGTAAATTGAATGTAAGACTTGTGACAAAGAGATGTAATGACTTGTCTTTTTATTTCTATTTCTTTTTCTAACCCCTCTGGATAGCCTCACAAACTTCCTTATGGGAGATGTAGGCAATGATTCAATATTGCGACTGCCTCTTTCTCGGGAAAGTAAGGTAGGCCAAGTTTTTGTGAAAGCAAAGTCCTTAATATTATAACTTAGTATTGCAACTGTTTCCTCTTGTTGATGTTAGCATTAATTTAAAGTTTATAGATTACCATATTATGGCAAGAAAAACAAACTGCTCATTTTAAATATAATAAAATGGTTCGTTTCTGGAGCAATAATTTGGTTATACTTTTTAAAGCAGAACTGCATTAAAAGGCCATGCCTGACAATTCATGAATCCATATGTTATTAGGTCGAAAACTTTAGTGAGGAATTCTGGGGTTGGGGTACACATGTCCTTGTGTGAATATGTGGAGGCCAGAAGTGGATATTGGCTGGGTGTCTTCCTCTATCACCTCTCTGCTTTTGTTTGTTTGTTTTTGAGATAGGGTCTCTCACTGAACCTGGAGCTCACTGATTGGCTAGATTGGTTGGGCAGCAAGTACCAGGGAACCTCCCATCTCTGTTTCCCAGCACTGAGACTGTAGCGCTGCACTGCCACACTGATGGGTTTTTTTGTTTTGTTTTTTTGAGACAGGGTCTCCCTATAGCCCCAGTTGGCCTGGAACTCTTTCTGTAGACAAGGCTGGTCTTGATCTCACAGATCCACCTGCCTCTGACTTCTGAGTGCTGGGGCTAAAGGCCTGTGCCACCATACCAGGTGATTTTTTTTTTAAGTAGGTACTTGGAATTTAGCCACAGGTTATCAGGTTTGCACAACAGGCACTATGCCCACTTTCCTGTCTCCCCAGTCCCTAGTGAGGAATATTTAAACTTTTTTCCCTATTGATGTTGCTACAAATCTTGAAGACTGTTGAAACTTACAAAAATAATGAAAACAGTAATGATGGTGTTAATGCTTTCACACATCCTGCAACCATGAAACACTTGGAGACATCCCTTTTCTCCCTAGAAGCGTTCCTATAAATATGTCATGATTCCCGATTTGAAAGAAGATTGCTGTAGAATAACAGGACATGAGGACTGTGTGGAGGTTACTGCTTTAAGAATAGAGAGTAGAAGTAGTAATATTTTCAGTTGTCTGAAAGTTTTCACTACATACAAGATATTTAAACAAACTGCATCAGGAACCTATCAATCATTTCCTGTTAAGAATGATGTCTAAGAAGGATTTCAAGTATTTGGAAATGTGCGAGGTACTTGTATTATGTCAAAATAATATCAAACTTCACACCTTTCTTAAAAAACACATAAAAAAAATCAGTTGGTTACTTAGGGCACCATTACATGTACTGTAGTAATGGGGAAAAAGCAGGTATTTCTAAAGCCATCCTTGATAATGAAGGAT